GGGGGGGGGCAGAGGTATGAATGTGCAACACTACTGGATTTCAGTAATATTTGTAATATACAACATTAGTTTTTTGTCCCTGATTATTACCTATTTGATCAGATTTCTGTACATTGATGTTTGATGAGTGTGCTTCCGTGAAATGAATTCGTTCACCAATACGTAACTAGCAAAACTTGTATTTGTTGGTAATCGATAAATAAGTACTACTTCAATTGCTTTTCTTCATATTTACAGACTCACTTGATGTCTTCGTGGTTGAGTTTTGTTTGTTCGAAGTTTTGTTGATATTGGTGCAGAGATGATCGAGTTATTGCCCTACTTTAAGCAGGTCCTCTTTATTTTTAAACAACCTGCACTTTGCATTCTTTACCTTTTCATATCTGTCAAATGGAAGCATATCGTCGTTTCTTTGATTAGAATGCGTTACCTTTCCGTATTTACTTAGATCTAGAAGATGATTGTAGAAGACTACTTTGGATTTCTCCATAAATGCCCAAATGGATAAATATAGAACGTTACAGATGGATAGATGTAGTACATGTAGACTACTTTGAATCATTTACTTTTACCTTTTCTGTCTGCTCAAATGGACAAATGTAGTAGGCCTTTAATGGATAAATGATGCAGTAGGCTGCAAGTGGAGGACTGTAATAGGCTAAATTGAAGTCTTTACCTTTTACTATCTGCTTAAACAGGTAAATGTTGTAGTCTACACTGAGTTCTTTACCTTTTATTATCTGCTCAAGTTGCAGGATCACAGGTAGTAGGCTTCGCTGAATTTTCCACCTTTCCCTTTCTGCACAGAGCCGTGGACCAAGTGGTGGCGGACTACCTTCACTACGCCAGGTACGGCCAGGTGGCCCCAGTGCTGTACGGGGGCGGGGCAGGGGGCGGCGGTCTGAACTGTGCCTGCTGTGTGGACAGAAACCGCGAGAACGTGGCCAGGAAGTTGGCGCTACAGCGAGGAGACGACCCCAACACAGTGAGGCCTCTGTCCCCCGCGAGAGACCTTCCAGAGCACTACGCCTTGCCTAGTACGTCACAGGCCATGTACACTGGACGGGGAATTCCCTCAAGCAACAGTTATAACGATAATACTGGTAAACATACAGTGCGTTTTCAGGATGATGAGAACGCCAGGACGCACTACCACTCACCTAGAACAAAACAACTGGTGCTGTCTCCGCCTCACGCTCAAGAACCGTGGACACATTACCAGCCCACGCCGTACGCTGGGACGTTTCTCAACCCAGAGTTCAACCGTCCGTTTGTGAGACAGTCGGCCGACGAGGAGTCGGTGTGGCTCTCAATAGAACAGAACCACATCTTTGACTCTGTTCTCGAGGCGGACTCCAAGTTCAAAAACAGCATGGACAAGCTTCAGACGCATTTGAAGAACAACTTTACACTGCCGCAGGACGCTGTTTTGTTAGACAAAGTGGACGAGCAAGAGGATTACTGAAGAAGAATTTCTGTCTGGTCTCCAACTCAAATTATTGCATCATCAATCAAAGTTTTAGCCAGAGTACACTCATGTAATTTCCACCGTGGAATAATGGCGACAATTCTGGATTGCTTCCCTAGAATGCTGAAATTTTTGGATAATCCAACTGATCCTGTTGGTCCAAAATCAGAAGTGTTACTTTATCTGCATCACATTCGGATCAGTCCGTTTGCAGCAGCTTATCAAAAGTCGACCATATTGCAAATTGAGGTCAGGATTGTATTTCACTGGGAACGAACTAAAGCAAACGATATGCGGCGCTGAGCAAAATCAGGCTTGTTGAAAAAATCAGGGGCCAGTTTTGACAACGTGCACCGGCCAGTCTTACCTGTTTCCCCGCTTGCTCTAAGGTGCAGATCTCTGCAACATGTGTTAATTAAGGACGCATACTGTTTCTAATGCTCATACGCATACACTTTGACGTGGACGTTGTTTGCAAGGGTTGAAAAGGCTAAGTATATGTTCGAACTCTTATGATCAACGACCCTGTTACCAAATTACAAGTGAAATGAAAGATTTATGTCACATTCTTAATTCGAAATTATACAGTGGAACAGAGTGCAAATATACTGTTGTACCATCAATAACAGGAGACATAAACACTGAGAAGGTGGGGGAATACAAAAGCTGGGGGTTATAAAACTTTCATCATCATATTCATCATCATCATCATCATCATCATCATCATCATCATCATCATCATCATCATCACCATCAAAACAGACCAAATAATTCCCCTTTTATTGTTTTTATTTAAGAACACCATTTTGTACCATGTTGTCACAATTTACGTAACTTACAAATATAGGCACCAAAATCAGGGCACGGGACCAAAAGAAAACAACCCAAAACAAAACAAAACTATCAAACTCAAAAACATCCGCTGGCGTAGTAGACCGTCAGGCTGGCAAGGCAGGGCGCTGCGGCCGCCGACGATTAAATTTTCGTTCATAAACGGCTTATTGAAAACTACGCCCAATCGTAAAACTAATATCAAATTCGGAACCAGTGTACCAAATCAACAAAGGGTTCCATGGATGATTCTATTTCTTGCTGGATTTTGTCGATAAAAATAAGGCATTTTTGCTCAGATTATACCATGAATTATTTTCTTATCACAAGAGAACGGACATGTGTTTTTTATTTTAATGAACGTGTAATACCCCCTTAACCGTGACGCAATGAAAAAAGGAGGAGAACTGAGACGTGTAAACTTTAAAACCAAGACAGATGGGGAAAAAAAAGAAAAGGACAAATGATAGAAAAATAGACATCAACGCCTAATGGTACCAATAATACTTAATGTGCTGAAAAATATTTAAGATTTGTGTGCGGTGTTATCTAACAAGAGACAGTTTTATTGTCTTATATAATTACCATTACCTTGTAAAGAGTTGTTGTTTTACTTACTGTCATATAATTCATAATAATGATATGCTCTAATAAAGAGAAAGGTCATCTCAATCTCGAGGAAGATTATTATTGTCTCACCTTCTGTAATATTCACAAAAATCGTTCCTACGTCCCTGATCAGTGAGCTGATGGGCTTTGGTAAGTCTTCATGAAGGGCGGGGAGTAAGCATTTCATTCTGCTATGTTCTATTCTTCTTTATATTTTAAAAGATGTGTCCGGGGAAGAAATGGGTCATGAATTAACTATGAATTACAACAGTGAATTACAAAAAGTAAAAACCAGAAATGGCCTGTTTCGTGACTTCGTTTCTCACCCTCATTTTCACCCTTTCCAGCAATTTATTTTCCAGACATGAAAATTAACGAACTTCAACACAATTAATTATTATTTGTCAAAATTGGAATTTTAACTACACCTGGTCTTTTTTAGACGGAAAACGATGCAATGTGTACTTGACAATCAAATCGTCAGCTTTTACAAACAACATCATGGTGGTAAAGGTTCTCCGATGTATTCAATATTATAGCGTTCATCCCATTGCTTGTTCATTAAACTGTTCCTCACATTATATGTCTACAAATATCTACGTGGCATTACATTGTTCCTCGTTTCATTGTTCCTTACTCGTCTGTTGTTGATTTTGTGGTTGTTGATTTTGTTGTTGTTGTTTTTTTCGTTTTTTGTTCTGTTTTTGTGATGTGATGTGGTATTCCTCTCAGTCTAAGTTAGCCCAGACAAGCAGGGACGGAAGACGCCGCCTCTGTTATCTAAGATAACTATTGTGTTGATGAAGGCGTAAAACACCTACTGTACATTTTTTTTTAAATTAATTAAAATTTCACCAGGGTGCCACTCATTTTCGACAGTCTTACGAAGCCGTCGCATCTTTCGTCAATACTCATTTTGCCTTCTACTTCTTTGTCTATCGAGGGTCTAGTTAAGTCTAACAAAATACATGTAATAGACCCCCCCCCCCACTCGAGCAAAAGCAAAGCTGTGTTTCATGCCCAGTGCCCACTGGGGGATTAGTTCTCTAATACAAACCGATCGCCCGACTCTCGGCCTTGAAAACAAACGTGTTTGTTTTTTAGAGTCACCGTCGGATTCGCTCGGTTTGTGCCATGATGGTCACTTTTCGCCTTCAGTCTGGCTAGCCCCGCCTACCAAACTGAACCCAACAGAGCTGATTGTGCCATTGGGCACTGGGTATTAGGTTCAATATTGAATTGATTATAATACCATTCTTATGGGCTCAACTCCATTGCTTTTTTCATAACTAATGTGTTGTCAGCACCACTATTAGTTATTCATTTATTGCTCTTCGTCCTTCTTTTTATTGTGTGTTAGGTATCTTCGTCCCCGATATTGTACGTTATTTATTATGTTTTATCAATTCTGTATTATGCTGTCCATTATATTATTTCGATGTTTTCGGAATAAGTCAAAATGTGTTGCCAACAAAAGACAGAGGCATGGTTTTGGCAAAAGGGCCACGTCTGCAGAAAAGAAGGTAAGAATGCCAAGTCGTTGAATGAAATATTTAAATATACTGTACATTGTATTATGATACAAGAAGCATTCGTAACATTATGATACAATGTACATGTTTGTGTTCATTTCTTAATTGGCAATATGAAAATACGGTTGACACTGGACGACATTACGAAGTTCGAGAATGCCATTTTGAGGATTTGAACCAGGTCTATCGGCACCAGAGCATAACACGATAGCAATTAAGCTTTCAGCAATCCTTAAAAATCTTAACATCATAAAAATCATAACAAACTCTCATTTCATGTTGGATTTCCAAAATATAGTTCTGTCACGTGTTTAGACCTGTGCATTGGAGATCTATAATGATTATTAACAGGACAACAAGGACCAAACTTCCGTATTGGAGAACAACTTTGTTACAATAAATACGTTTCGATTTTTTTTTCTTTCTTTTTTTTCCAATTTACCCCCACACACACACACACACACGCACATACATTCTCCATTCTTAATATTGTTGAAATCGTCTTCCGTGCAACGTCACGCAAACCAAATGCCTTCTCTCGGATAGTGGGAATCCCTAATGTGGTACATTCCGATTAGCGGTCTTCTAAAGTTAACTTTAGTTTTAGTTTTTCGTTTTTTAACTTTGAGCAAAGTCTCTTTATATTCAGAAAATGTATTCTTTCCGTTGTTTTCCTTTCTGCTCCAGCAAGTAGTTCAAGAAAATCTGAGCTTTCACGTCATTGACTCCTTTGCCATAGTGAGCCCCGTCAAAACTCATCGTGCCGTCAGTAAGGTTAAAGCTGCAGGACAGAAAGTGAACGATTAAATTTTTAAAAAGGTACGAAAGAAAGAAAAAAACATGAAAAATAAACTCGTGCGTCCCCCACTTCACAATAACCGCCTTAGTAAGTTTGTTTAGTCCAGTATACTATATCAGTTCACCCCTGACCCCTTCCCTCCCCATCCCACCCGTTGTATGTTGTTTGTTGGTGACTCCTGATTGCGATCAATATTGCTTCTTTTTTTTTCTTTTTTTTGCTCAAGAAAATTTCAAAATTGTGGTGAAATTTGAGGGGCAGGGAGGGATGGGATGGCGCAGTATATTTTAGTGGCCGATTTTATGGCGTCGGTAAAGAATATTAGACACATTTACACATGGAGTCTTATGACGAAAGAAGTGAACAATGGATATTGATGTTTTCGTCTATGTACATACGTGTGTTTACATATTAGAATTCATTTTATTTTAATGAACAAAAAAGACAGCGACAGGCGACAGATGGGAGGGGGGGTGGAGACAGACAGATAGACAAGCAGACAGACAGACAGACAGAGAAAGAGAAAGAGAGAGAGAAGAAGAGAGAGAGAGAGAGAGAGAGAGAGAGAGAGAACTAATTCCTCTGTTGATACAAACGGGTTTTTTTCTGAACTGTAGGAAGAACGACATAATTAACTAATTACATTGTGCATGAGTACAAAAGTACCTGTCAAAAACGGGGATTCCCCACACGATGAGCAACTGACGCAGCTCGGCATTGTACCGCAGTATACTCTCTCTGTTCTGAGACGGTACTCGGGGAGTCTTGAGAAGGCCAGGGGCGTGCATAGCTGACCACAGCACATGAGGCCAGGACAACTGGGACAGCTGCTCTAGAAGGGGAGTGACCAGCTGCAAGAGGGGATGGGTAAGGGTGTGATGTGTGAAAAAAGGGGAGTTGGGTTGGGGGTTGGGGGAGTGGGCATAATAACATCTATGTAAGTCTTATTGTGTTAAAACAACTTGTTGTTCTGTGCTTTTGTAATTTACAAATTTTCATTGTGATTGTTTTACGCCGCCATCGACACGAATTAGGTCATTTAAGAGGCGGTAACTTGAGTGCGGTGTTTTTTTCTTAAAATGATATACATCATAAGCATTTATGTGTTTGTGTGTGTATGTGTGTGTGTGTGTGTGTCTGTGTGTGTGTGATTGTAAGTGTGTATTTGTTAT